ATGCAGTAGATGCTCAAATATTTAAGTGAATGAATAGCAACCATCATATTGCATGCTTTTTGTCTTCATTGCCTCTCCTAACTGTAAACTCTATGAGGGTAAAGAGTGTCTTATTTTCTTATATGTAGTTCCTGTATGTTGTAAAGTGGTCAGTAAATGAAGGAAAAACATTTTTGTGTAAATGTAGATATTATTACTGTCCTCATTTTATTTCTCATCTCATTTGTGTAAGTAAAGGAACTGAGGCTAACAGCATAAATGAGTTCTATTTTGTACTTTATATACATGAAATCAGACAATTAAGTATCCTTTAAATTGTGAGATTTATTCAGAGGTATGCTGAAAATGGCTTGTATCAGCTCCAGAGAGCTGATTTTTAAATTTTTAGGATTTTGGTAAGCTGGTTTTTCAACCATTTGGTAGCTTAAAATTGGTCAGGGTCCAAGTGTTTGCTCTCCACAGAAATCAACCAACATTATAAGTTAGGGCTTTTTATTGGAAGAGCTGGTTTACCAGCATATCCCAGAATTCATCCACATTGTTGCATGTAGCTGTAGATTAATCTCATTTCCATGTAGTTTTCCACTGTGTGAATATACCACAGCAGTTGATCCATCCTTTTGTACATTGACAATTGAGTAGTTTCCAACTTCGATTATTGCAAGTAGTTATGCCATGAATATAATGTCTCTTGGTAGACATTTTGCTTGGTCATAAATTGTGTATATATTCAGATTTAGTAGATATTGCCAAACTTTTCAAACTGTTTGAACCAATTTACACTCCCACTACCAATTTATTAATACAATTTTATTAATAAACTCTCACAATACTTGCTATCTTTGTGCCTTTTATTTTAGCCATGTGGCGAGTGAAAAGTGATATTGATTGCATTGTGGTTTTAATTTAATGAAGTTGAGGACCTTTTCTTTTGTTCATATCCTATTTAAATATATCCTTTTTTGTGAAGTATCTGTTTAAGTCTGTTGTTTATTTTTCCATTGGATTGTCTTCTTTTTCCTATTGGTTTTGTGAGTTCTCTGTATATTATGGAAGTGAGTCTTTTGTCAGATATATGTATTGTGATTATTTCCCCCCACTTTGATTAACTAGTTCTTAATTAAATGTCATCCATTATGTCAGATCTCTGCTTTATGATGAATGATTTTTGTGATCTAAGATCTTTCTCTATTACAAGGACATGAAGAGTCTCTTAGGCTTCTGTAAGCTTTATTTTATCTCCATACTTAAATTTTCAAGTCAGTTGGGATTGTTTTTGAATGTTGTATGAAGTAGACTCAAGGTACATTTTCCCTCTTATGGATATGTAGTTGACCCAGAACTATATTTTGAAAGGACTTTTTTCTTTGTTCACTGCAATGCAGTGTTGCCTTTGTCATAAATCAGGTGACTGTGTGTGTGGGTCTGTTTCTGGACTCTTCTGGTTTTGGTCAATTTATCTATTCATACATTTATAACAGACTGTCCTAATTACTATAGTCATAGATCTTGATATCTCCAATTTTGTTGCTCTTCAATATTGCCTTGCTTATTCTTGGCCCTTTGTTTCCACATGATTTTTAGAATAAGGTTTTTAATTTGAGGGGAAATTTTCTTTGATTTTAATTGGGATTGCATTGAATTTATAGGTGAATTTATGGACACTTGCCATCTTTACAATAGTCTTGGTGCATGAACATGGTGTATTTCTCAATTTATTTAACTGTTATTTCTCAGTAAGTTTTGTTTTCAATGTAGAGATCTTCCATATTTTTTATTAGATTACTCCTGGGTAGTTGATTTTTTTAATGCTATAATAAATTATATCTTTTAAACAATGTTTTTATTTGTTTGTTCCTGATATAAAGAAATAATTTTATGTGTGTGCAGTGACTTTATATCAAGTTATCTTGCCTCTGCTAATACATCGTTGAGTATTTTCAGTTTTCATATTTCTGTTGATACTGAGTTTACTTGGTTCTTTCTTAAATAGCTTTAGACTTCTCTAGGGTTATGGAAAGAGCTAATGCTGCTAGGTAACATTTAAAGATAATCTGTACTGGTTCTTCCTTTTACATTTTTCCCTTATTTCCGTTGATAAATAATATATCTTACTTTATATTTCGTTGCTGAACTTTTGTCTCACATTAGAAGAGATCACATAATGACTAGCAATTTCTGTGTTATTTTCTCAGATACTCTTAGCATAAACTTGTCAATGTCTCTTTCTCCAACAATTAATGTTACTCAGAAATATTTATTCATTTACGTTTAGGATTCCTTTCAAGTCATCCCAAATATGGTTCCATTCCTAAACTCATATGTAAGTATGAAAACAAGTTTTTTTTAGCTTTTTACTTAAGTAAAATAATGTGTTTATCAAATGTTTTATCTTACTCATAACAGTTATTTGATTATTTGCTTTTACAAATCAGTTGAAGCTTTTTATTAAATGGGCTACTAGGAATTTATTATGAATCTTTTTATTGTTAACATTAAATATCATGAGTTACTTTAAAGAGGCATTTATAATGTGACAGAGGTATTAATTTAAATTACTTTGTAAAGATGTACTATTTGAAAATAAATTCTCAAATACTCTCTATTAGAGAAGAAAGTTGTTCAGGGATTCTGATTAATCAAGATAAATTATAAAAATTAAGTCTAATTTGAAAAAATAAATCTTTTAAATTTACATTAAAAATGTAAAAAAGCATAACTTATTTATATTTTATAATATGATTGATAGGAAAGAAGCTAAATTGCTTTTTAAAATTACCTGAGGTTTTTTATGAATCTTCCCAGGTTAGCCTCTATTTTGTATTGGAAACAGACACATGATTCAACAAGAGCCATATTTAGGTAGCACTTAATAATTCATTATTTTAAAAGATTTGTTGCACCTAATTTTAAAAACAAGTTGAAGAAATTAGCTGGGAAATGATTTGATTTTCATCTGATTTAATGTGATACTTTTATCATTATTTCAGGAAATCTTAGTCTTTTCACACCAAAGATATACTTAGAATTTTTTTTTAATGTACTTTTAGAAAAGATTGTCCAAAAAAGCACATTGAGTTACACTTTTTTTTTTTTTTTTTTTTTTTTTTTTAAAAATTGCTTGCATCATGGGATACTTTGCTGGAAAGCTTTCTTATGTGAAAACTTGTCAAGAGAAGTTCAAGCATCTTGAGAATTCCCCTCTTGGAGAAGCTTTACGATCAGGACAGGCACGACGAGCTTCAATACCTGGGTAGGCCAGATTCTTATCTTTATTAAAGGTTTTTAAATTTAGCTAAAAAATTGTAACTGGATATTGCCATAGTTCAGGCATGAAACATTGCCTAACTGAAGGATCATTGGAAACTTGCCACTTTGTTGCAAGCTAAAGCTAATTAGATTTTGAAAGGTAGCACTAGCCAGGCCAGTGTTACTCAGTGGTTGAATGTCGACCCATGAACCAAGAGGTCACCACATTGAGTTTCCCTTTTTTTTTTTTTTTTTTTTTTTTTTACAAATAAGTTGCTTGCATCATGGGATACTTTGCTGGAAAGCTTTCTTATGTGAAAACTTGTCAAGAGAAGTTCAAGCATCTTGAGAATTCCCCTCTTGGAGAAGCTTTACGATCAGGACAGGCACGACGAGCTTCAATACCTGGGTAGGCCAGATTCTTATCTTTATTAAAGGTTTTTAAATTTAGCTAAAAAATTGTAACTGGATATTGCCATAGTTCAGGCATGAAACATTGCCTAACTGAAGGATCATTGGAAACTTGCCACTTTGTTGCAAGCTAAAGCTAATTAGATTTTGAAAGGTAGCACTAGCCAGGCCAGTGTTACTCAGTGGTTGAATGTCGACCCATGAACCAAGAGGTCACCAGTTCAATTCCTGGTCAGGGACATGCCTGGGTTGTGGGCTCAATCCCCAGTGGGAAGTGTGTAGGTGGCAGCCGATTGATGTTTCTCTCTCATCTTCTCTCTCATTAATGTTTCTATCTCCCTTCCTCTCTCTAAAATCAATAAAAATATATTGAAAATAAAGGTAGAGTGAGATTTGTCTACCTTTGTTTTATATAGAAAGTTGCATCCTATTGGGGTGTATATCCCAGAATAAAGGATTTTAATTTGGCAAACACCTTTGGTTACCTATATTTTGAACTTTTCTTTTGAATTCCCAATTTTTATCAATTTCAGCTCAACAAATTTCAAGTTTTTAATCCTTCTATTGTTTAAAATAGTAGGGAAATTGTGTAAGTGAATCTCTTTGTCTGGATAGATAGATAAGTAATAAGGTAATTAAGTAGATTTAGTAGGTATATTGTCATATCATAAGTGGCAAGCAATGTAAACTCGTTAAGAGCTAGATGTACTTACATTTGCTTTATCACTGTAGAGTTTATGTGGACTACTACTGTAGGAGTAACTTCCCAGTTAATGTGGGAAATGGACACATTTTCTGATCTGGAGTATTTTTTCTTTCTAAAAACTTTAAGCACATTAAAATGATCTCTGAAGCCTCGTAATTGGAAAACTAAATAAACATTTTTTTTCTCTTGTATATTGAGTGACAATTTTTAAGTTATATAAGTAGGTCAGACCATTTTTGTGTGCATGTGGCAGAAAGAAACAGGCTTAATTTTACCATTTTAAATAACTTAAAATAATATGATTTCTTTAGAAAATAAGATAACTGATTTTTATACCTACGTACATTTCTTTAAATAAGGTATAAGAATAATTCATGTTTCTTACATAATATGAATTTCTTTTATAGGTACTATTCTCAAAAGCCAAGATATGAATCAAATGTGAGTGATCACTCATCTTTTGTGACAGCCCCAGCAGCAGATAACATGGAAAAAGAGAAGTTTCCTCGTTATGAGCCAATTCCATTTAGTTCTTCTATGAACGAATCTACTCCCACTGGTATTACTGATCATATTGCCCAAGGTAGAAACTTCTCTTGAAATGAATTTCAGCATTTAATGGTCCAACGTATGTATAAACTTTATTTGATGACCTTTTCTGCTGGGTATCATCTGTGTGTTCCACCATCAGCCTAAACACAGCATGTTTGTTCATTTGTTCATTTGTTTCTTCATTCAACGTAGGTTTGAGGTTCAGTCTGTTAAAAGATAGAGAAATATAAAGATAAATTACTAGTATGTCCCATTAATGGAAAATACTAAGCTAGGTGGAATATCAAAGAAGTGATAAATTGTGCCTCAGGGAGGCTTTAAAAAGGTTACGTTTATTAGGCTGGTCTTAAAGGCTTTCAGCTTCTTTGTAATGTGAGAAAAATAATAATTACCTGCCTTACAGAACTGTTGTCAAGTGAAAAATCCTTGTGAAAATGCTTTGTGAAGTTTGTGTAAATACTAGCTTTGAAGATTACATAATGTAAGTGCAACAACATCAATTTTGGATTAAGGCCTGGATTTGAATCACGATTCACTTTTACTAGCTATGTGACTTTCAGCAAGTGATTGTAATTTTTGATCCCTTCAGTTTCTTGATCTATCAAATGGAGATAATACCTCTTTTAAAGAACATTTGGAATGAGATGAAATAATCAGACGAACGCCTGGCAAGTAATAGGCTCTCATCAAATGTTAATTTCCTTCCTTTCTTCCTTCAGTCTAGTTTGCAGTGAAAGGTGAGGAATTAGAAACAGAAAATGCAGGTCTGCAATTCCTTGTCTAAAAAGCCTAAAATCCAAAAAGCTTTGAAAACAGAAGTTTTTTAAATAGGTGATAAAGTCTGACATGAACTCATTTCAAACCCTGAGCTAAACATAAGGTTTATTTATCTTTATCTTAATATGGTTGTTCCTAAATTTCGTTGTAGAAATACTGTTTTTACTCTTTGCTGCTCGGAACTTTTGAATGGATAAATATTAAGTAATACAAGGACTATACTATAATATTTTTCTAAAATCTGAGAATGTCTGAATTTTGGAACATTTCTGACTGCAAGGGTTTGGATAAGGGATTGTGGACCTCTATAGGGTATTCTTTAAAAATACTTGCTTTGAACCAAATATAGTAAGCCAGTAACTATAGGGAACAAACAAGGTTAAAGGAACATTTCGATTTTTGTTTCCTTTGTTTAAGATGGGAGAGATTTATAGCTATATATATGTAGGTTAAGGGGATCCTGAACAATAAAGATTTAATTAAAAAAAAAATAAAAAAAATAAATAAAAAAAATAAAAATAAAAATACTTGCTTTGAACCAAATATAGTAAGCCAGTAACTATAGGGAACAAACAAGGTTAAAGGAACATTTCGATTTTTGTTTCCTTTGTTTAAGATGGGAGAGATTTATAGCTATATATATGTAGGTTAAGGGGATGGGGGGAATACAGTGGAAAGGGAGAAGTTGATTATAGGTCAAGTGAGGTTCCAGAGGATGCGGAGCGGTTCTAGGTAGGTCAGGATATCAAGTAGCCATTGGCTATATATGGCTGTTTAAATTTATCAAATCAAATTGAAAATCAATTCCTTAGTTGCTTTGACAGCATTTTGGTTGTTCAGTAGCGACATGTGCTAGTGGCTACTGTGTTGGACTGCAGATATATCACGTTCTTATCATTACAGAAAATTATATTGGATAGCACTGCTTTAGAGCAGGAGTAAAGGGGTATTTTCAGAAGAGACCAGAGAGAATGGAAGTTAATATAATTTAGATTCTTTAGTGGATGAAAGTTGTCAAGAGACTGTTAATCCTCAGCTGCTTTGTTTTTTCCTGAATGGTTGGAAATAAAGACATCCAATTACAGTTGACCCTTGAACAATATTAGGTTTGAACTGTCTGTGCAGAACCATTTACACAAATCTGCCTATAAATCGACCCACACAATTCAAACCCATGTTGTTCAAGGGTCAACTGTAGTCAGAAGGGGCAGGAGGTAGGCAGATTAGAGTGGTTAAAGTCATTTTATCCAAAGGCAGCTGTCCTTGTCCCTCATTGCATCTCTCCATTTTTCCCGTTTCTCAAGTTCAAATCCATTCTACTTGTATTCTAGCCTTGTAATTACTTGCATTCTTCCTTTCATTTCCATTAGCAAATTCCATTCCATGTTACATAGTTTCTTTTTCAAATAAAAGCAAACAAAAAGCCCTTTGCTATCGACCCACAGACCACAGCAAGGCCCCTGTTTTACAATATTTTAGGTTTTCCAGAGCAGTTATTAGTCCGTCTGCTGTTCTGCTTTCTCACCCCCTTCTCTAAGTCTGGATTGCAGCTCTTTGACTGCTCTCCACATGGACCAGCAGAGCGGCCTCCTTTGCTTGCCCCAGCTGCTGTTCCCCTTACTAAGACACCTCCCCTTTTGGTTAAGCAGAACTACTTGCCCCCTTAGTTCTGCTTTCTCTTACCAAGAATTTAAAGTTATTCAATGTAGAGAATTCATAGTAGGAGGTATTCCTTCATAATTATTATGACACTTATTATAGTTAATTACAGTTAGACTTAAATCAGTGCTGTTTTTCATTCTTATTCCTTCCAGCTCTGTATACCTTCAAAGTAGTAAATCATGCTATGCTCCCTGCATAATATAGGATGTTTTCATTTGACTTTTAATAAGTGTAAAAAATTCTCCCTAACATTCTGTCTGATTTATGTTTTCATTATTTGTCACAGAATTATAGAACAATGAAAAAAGTATTAGACCTGGAAGGAACTTTAGGAATAGATTATTTACTTCCATATTTCACAGTTGAGAAAACTAAGATTTAAAGAAGCTTAGTGATTTGCCCAAGGACATTCACTAATTGTTGGCAGAGTAGGAATGAGAACCTAGGGTTTCTGACTACTAATCTAGTATACACTATCTAAATGATATTTTAAAATATTATTATGGTGAAGGGAAATGAGTCCAGTAATTACTCATTACTAGTGAAATACAGAGTGCTTTTTAAAACCAATATAAGGTTTTACTATTTGTTCTTTGCTTTTTTTTTTTTTAAGAAAATTTTACTTTTCAACAATGGTGTAGTATTATAACTAATAAGGAGAAATTTAAATGTTCTTTGTATCAGTACACTATACTTTGTATTAAAATAAGTGATTATGGTTGAAAGCATTTAATGTCTAGTTAGATTGCTTTAAAAATTCTGATTATTCAGTGGGACCTTACTATTGAGTTCCACAATAATACGACTTATCAAAAATTGTTTAAAAAAAATAATCATAATTAAAATGTGTCCAATTTTTATGTCTTATTAAAAATCTCTTTGAAAAATAGTACTTTTGGAGTAGTGTGTCAGATTGTAAGTAGTTGTTCATTGAATGTTGTGTTAGCATTAGTTTTCTTTAGAACTGCTTATATGGCCTTTTTTGCTGGTTATACATTTTATAAAGTATCTTCAATATTTGTTCCTGCCAACCAGTATTAAGAGTAACAACTTCCATACGTTTCAACAGTATTTAACTCTTTGATAATATGTATTCATACTTTGACTCTTTTGGAGATATAAAGAATAAATGCTGGTTTCCCGGTCGAAATCATAGTTGCCACTTTCTTTTCCCTCAGTATTGCATTCATTAGACCTAAGTGAAAATGATGCATACTGTGCTTAAAAGGCTATGTTTTATACTTTTCAGTAGCTATTTTCAAGTATTTTTGTTTAAATACAAAGATGGTAAAATAATTTTTAATAATAGCTGGAATTGTTTGTGTATATATTGTGGTTATGGGAACATTTAACTATGGAAATACTACCAAATAAAAGCCATACTGGATCAAGTTTTATTCAATTGTCACTAGTAGGATATATTTCTCTTTATATAAACACTGGATAACTTTGCATTTTAAAACACTAACATGTTAATGAGTCTTAATTATGCTGGTGTGTATTATGTTTTCTGTTCTTCTGGCATGGTTAGTTTTTAATTTCTTGATGTTAATTTTAGATTTTAGAAATAAAAACTTGAAACTGTGAGAGAAGTTGATTTTAGTTTTATAATTACCTTGGGGGAATTATAGTACTTTTGGAATGGTGGTAATTGATCCTTTATTTCACTTTATTCTATTTTTATTATGAGTAAGGAGCATTTATAAAATTTAGTTGCTTTGGATATATTCAACTCTTTATCACCATGTATTAATTGTTTGTTGTTTTAGGACCTGATCCCAGGCTTGAAGAAAGTCCTAAAAGAAAAAGTATTACATATGAGGAATTAAGGAATAAGAACAGAGAGTCATATGAAGTAACTTTAGCACATAAGACTGACCCCTCAGTCAGACCTATGCAGGAAAGAATACCCCAAAAAGAAGGTATGATAGTTTAGTCTAATCACTGTATTCTGTAGGATTGGATATCGCAGCATTAGATAAAAACATTAGTCATATTAACATGTGATTTAATTCTATAAGCAATTAACCAAAATAGTGTTTTTTAAAAAAGAATAGCTATTTCACAGTCATCATATCTTTCGTTTTTAAGGTATTGTAAAGGCCATTTTGTGTTAGAAAATAATGAAGTCAAAATAGTAGTATGACTTAAGATAGTAAGACTTAGTTTTGTAACATCCAATTTGACTGTTTTCCCTTATAAGAAGTCACATTGGAAACCTTTTTTAAAATGATGCATCTATTACATAAAACCAGATCTGGTGACCTAAGGTTGATAATTGGGTTGTAATGCCACTTTTGGCAGAGCCACAGAATCATGATTAATGAAACTAATTTTCTTAGTGAAATTGAAATTGAGTTATATGCTTTACAAAGCAGCTTTAGGACATTTCCAAAGAGGAGTTTGACTTTTTTAAAATAGTTCTTTTGCTCTGCAATTAATTATAAGTTTTAAAATCACAGTTTCTTTTCTTTTTTTAAAAAATTCTTATTGATGAGCATATTACAGATGTCCCTGATCAGTTTCTTTTAAGTCATTTTGGAACAGTTATTCATTACCCCAAGTAAATTTTCTGACACAGAAGTTTACTTCTAACGAAAGGAGGTATTTTAATTAAGGGTTTGTAGCTATTTTAATACAGAATTTTATGTCTCTTGGGTTTCTATTTACTACTTTAAAAATTGAAGGAATAGGTTCTTGGTACCTTTAAAAAAAAATTCTTTATTGTTGAAAGTATTACATGCGTCTCCTTTTTTCTCCTATTGACCCCTTATAGCAGTGATGGCGAACCTTTTGAGCTCGGCATGTCAGCATTTTGAAAAACCCTAACTTAACTCTGGTGCCGTGTCACATATAGAAATTTTTTGATATTTGCAACCATAGTAAAACAAAGACTTATATTTTTGATATTTATTTTATATATTTAAATGCCATTTAACAAAGAAAAATCAACCAAAAAAATGAGTTCGCGTGTCACCTCTGACACGCGTGTCATAGGTTCGCCATCACGACCTTATAGCCTGCCCCTCCGCCCCAGGCCTCCACCACCCTATCGTCTGTGTCCATGCATTATGCATACAAGTTCTTTGGTTGATCTCTTCCTAGCCACCCCCGCCCCTTCCCTCTGATATTCCACAAGTTTGTTCTTGGTACCTTCTTGAAAGTCATAGGCTACAAAGAATATATAAAAATTCTTAGTACTTTTTATTATGATCATTCTTTTAGAGCCAAATTTATTTCTAATTGGTAGTGGTTGCTGCATTTAGAATTCTGTTTTCATATTAATGATGGATAATATCTATTATATTATTGCTGTTAAAAATTTAGCTTTAAAATAGACTGATAATTGACATTGTTAATGTTTGTCATTAAAAATAAAATATGTAAACCTTACGCATTCAATAGCCACTACTCTGTAATATGTAAAGGCTTACTGGTACTTTGTTCTGCTAATTAATTTGAGGATTTAGACCAAGCATGTTAAACTCACGGCCCACGGGCCGGATGCCTCGTTTATTTGGCCCATGTTAGCCTTTGAGTTTGACATGCTTGATTTAGACTGTAAGCTCCATGAGGGCAGGCAGTAGTATTTTTCTCAGTTTTGTAATCTTTTATGTCTGCATAGCATAGGACCATATGCTGGTAAATCAGAAATGGAGTGTTTCATTGGGCTTTCTATAGTAATAAAGATTTAGAAAAGGAAATATGGTAGACCTTTGGTATTTGCTAAATTTTGACATTTATGGTTTTGACCATAAGCAGTCTTTTAAAGTTGTTACATGACACAACTTTAATATGAAATAATTTGTTTATAAAAAGAAAGGTGATTTTTGTGTGCTTTATTTGAAGATAAAGTTATGAAATGGTTTTAGTGATTTTCTAGAATGTTCTATTCTAGACTCTAGGCAAAAAATTTGATATTAGTACAGTGTGGATTTGCTGGATCAGAAAGTATCACCTAAATTTTTCAGTTTTAGTTTCTGTGGATGACATTTATCTAATTAGAAATTAAGACTGAGAGATTTTAAAAACATAAGCACATTAGTTATGTCAGGACCATTATAGCACCACACATGCAGCTTCTAGAAAACTCTACCTTGTACTAATGAGGGAATAAAGCAAGGGGAAATGGCAGAATATGAGGGAAAAGGGTACATAACGTCTTAGTATAATGAAATAGTTTTGACTTCACAGAATCTCAGAAAGAGTCTTGAGGCAGGAGGTTCCTAGTCCATACTTAGATAACTGCTTCTTTACAATATGACTACTTATAATTTATAGATGAAGGCTATGTAAAAGAGGCTAAAAGGTGAAAGAGTACAGAAGACAGGGGCATGTTTCAAAATATAATTTTATGTAAAATGCAGGAATATTGGAAAGTATTTCCTCCTTGCCACCAGTATCATGGCTCATAGGAGAGAAGATTGAATTAACCATAACCTGAATATCTGACCATTTCTACTGCTATATTTTTTGTGAAAAACAAAATTCAATTTTTTAATTATTTTTTTAAATTTCCCAGTATTTTTTGTATATGCTGTAATTTATACCACACTTACTTAGGTAGTAGGTAAAGTTGTAATGACACCCAGGCTTTGGACCTATACAGATGTGTTCAAATTTTAGTCCACTTGTTTTTTTAGGCTTGTACCTTGGGCAAGTTACTAATCTGTTTTTCTCGTTCAAAATGGGGGTTGTGTTTATAAGGTTGTTAGGAGGATCAAATATTTAAGTCAAGTTCTCCATACATTGCATTACTATTTATGTCCAACCTCCAGTTCACTAAAGTCTGCCAGCTCCTTTTCAATCCTGCTTTCGTGTGTATTTATTAAAATGAGAAAAACAACTTTTCACCATAATAGTGAACTTTTATGTATTACTATTTGGAATCATCAATTATTTGTGCTCTTTTCCTAGTCAAAGTAAACAAATATGGAGATGCTTGGGAAGAGTGAGACACTGCATCCTTGGACCTGCTGAAGGAGTTTCAATATCCAGCTTCATCCAGGTGGTCATGTCTGCATGCTTGGAGCTCAGCAGCAGCCTTCATAAACACGTGTAAAATCCGAACCTGGGCTTTTTGTGGTTTGGCTTATTAAAATAATGTTTCAGTAACAAATTTTATTGTTAATATTGTGTGAATCTATATGAATAATGGTATAATACTATGATCGTATACAGTTTGTGAAATTTAAGTTACAGGACAAGGATACTCTTAGAAAACCATTGAGGGATTGTAATGCTCTAGAATTAGCATATGTGAAAATAAATATCTGCATGCTGAATTGGGATGGGTGGGGGGAACAAGCATAATTTTAAGCGTTAAGCTTTACATCAAAAAAATTATTAAAAAGCCTTTTTCCAGTGTTTGCTGTATTCTCTTAATGTTTATGGTAAATAAAATATAAAGGAACATGCATCTTCACTGATTTCATGGTTTTATTGTTTGCGACCTATTTTAAGTACATTATAAGTGGTGTAGGGATAGGAAATAAAGTCATCTCTGAATATTTAATAATATGGTAAATGTGACTCGTGGATTAATCAACTACAGTAAATGGCTCTGCCTAAAAAAGCAGTGGTCATGTTTAAAAACTGCAAATTTCAGGGGAATAAAAATTTGGTATCCTTTTTTTATTATGGTTGTTCCTGGTTTAGGTGAATGGAAAATGAAATTGTGGTTTCATTTACATTCTTATTTATATTACATTTCTATCAGAAACAGTGTTTCTGTTTTGGATGATGCAAATCATCCCAAAACTTGGCTCACTTTATCAGGATTATCACTTAGTAAGTTACATAATGTCTAATATAACCCAGTGTACTGGGTTGTACACAAACATATTGTATGTCAACTATAATTGAAAAATAAATTATTTTTAAAAATCGGTTTTTCTGTGGGTCGGGATTTAAGGGTTTCAGCTGAATGATTTGGTTCTTGGTCCCAGATTTGCAGTCAGATGCTGGATGGAGCTGAAACAGCAGGGAGCTAGAGCAGCTGGGGCCTGGCAGGGCATCAGGTCTCTTATTTCCAGGGCCTTGCCATGTTTCTTTTCATGGATTAGTGTGGGCTCCTCACAACAGTATCGGTTTTTCTATGGGTCGGGATTTAAGGGTTTCAGCTGAATGATTTGGTTCTTGGTCCCAGATTTGCAGTCAGATGCTGGATGGAGCTGAAACAACAGGGAGCTAGAGCAGCTGGGGCCTGGCAGGGCATCAGCTCTCTTATTTCCAGGGCCTTGCCATGTTTCTTTTCATGGATTAGTGTGGGCTCCTCACAACAGTGTGCTCACAGCAGTCAGACTGTATGTGACCACTTAGGGCTCTAGCATGAGTGTTCCAGTTAGTATGTTAAAAGCCCCATTGCCATTTATTTACAGCCCAGACTCTGAAGTCA